AGTTGATCCAAGCAGCACAAAGGCTTGGCCAACACATGTTCTAGTCTTGATAGCAGACTGAACTCAGTAGAAAACAAGCTCGAAACTTTCACTGGTGCATCAGCTCCAACTGAAGAAATTATAGCAGAGTTCTCCGAACGCAAAAGACGGGAATAGAACGTCATTATGTTGAATGTTCAAGAGTCAAGGAGAGCAGATGGCAAAGACCGTCTTGATGATGACGGAGCTACCGTCCAGTCCATCTTGCAAATCGATTCGCCTTTCGAAATGGATGAATTGAAACTCCGACAACTGGGTCGCCTAACTGTTGGCCGTAACCGCCCGCTGCTAGTTGAAACAACTTCCCCATCTGTTGCTCGTGCTATATTAAAGTCTAAACCACCGGAACCTGTTGACGGATCATCCAAAGTCATATTTAAATCAGATCTCACTCCCGCTCAGTTGACGCACCTCAAGAACCTTCGCACACAGCTGGATTTTCTGGTAAGGAATGGCGATTCCTCTAAGACAATAAAATACGTTAATGGCGTCCCGAAATTAGTCAATAAGAATTTTCGCTCGTTCAACGACAATTCAAACAATCTTGCACATCCACTATCAATGTGAGGTTACTACGTACCAAGCTCGGCAGTTTTCTCACAACAGCAGCGACTAGCAGTATTGATGCTTTCTGCATCACTGAGTTATGGCTTCACCCAGCTATCCATGATGGGGAAGTTATAGATGACTCATTCAATATTTACAGGAAGGATAGAAACAATATCACAAGTGATAGTGAACGAGGTGGGGGTTTTTTCATCGCAATAAAGAAGTTTGTGCTCGCTGAATATATTCCAGTCATTGATGATAGTATTTAACACATCTACGTAAAAATTAAGTACAATAGTTCAGATATCATTATTGGATGTGTCTACATTCCTCCGAGAGCATCACTAGTCGCTTACCATGCGTTTCACGATACCCTCCAGTACTTGAAACTAAAACACAAAGATACCAACTTCCTCATCACGGAGGATTTCAACCTTCCAAGTAGCTCGCCTCATATAGACTGTGAAAATTTACTCTATGAAGGCTTCTCTCTGTTAGAATGTCGCCAATTTAATAACATTCAAGCCGATAATCATAATTTACTTGGTCTTTGTTTCAGTAATCGGCATATACACGTTGATCACACGCAGGCAATTACCGCAATGGATCGATACCATCCAGCCCTTGGTATCACGATTGAACTCCAGCTCAGCCTCAAACCAGTAACTTTACCTTTCCATGATTTCAAAAGTGCTGACTATGAGAACCTTAATGCATTTTATCTGAACGTCGATTGGTTGAGCCTGTATTCATCCTCTACCCTAGACAGCAAAGTTGTAGTCTTCTATGACATTATTCAAAGAGGTATATCTACATATGTGCCTGTCCGTTCACAAAACATCAACAACTTTCCGTACTGGTTTTCAAGGGAATTAAAACACAAAACGATACTTAAGAAGGAAGCCCATACTACCTATAAGAAGTGCAATTGCAAAAAGAATTATAGAAAGTTTAGCGAACTCAAGAGAGAATGTAAAATTCTCAATAAACAATACTACAAGAATTACATAGATAAAATTGAACAAGTACGGGATGACGCTAATGTGTTCTGGAAATTTGTTAAACACAAAAAAAGAGGTAATGGTGACATCCCATCCACCATGTCCTGGGATAATCTGACGGGAGACTCAGGTATCGATATTAGCAATATGTTCGCATCCTTTTTAAATAGTGTGTACAACCAAAATTCTCACCAGTGTTCACCGTCAATTGAAGTAGTACCAGCTCCGACTGTCACCATTGATGAATTTGGAGTTAACATCAAGACGTCCATAAAATGTTGTCGACACTGAACTTGAAGAAAGGTGCTGGTCCGGACGGCTTACCAAATATGTTTCTTAAAAACTGTGCAGACAGCCTCAGCGAGCATATCACATACTTATTCAGCTACTCACTACAAAATGGTGTCTTCCCAACTAAATGGAAATCATCCGACATCTGTCCTATTCACAAGGAAGGCCCAAAGTCCGAAGTCGTTAACTATAGGCCAGTTTGCATTCAATCAGCTTTTTCCAAGCTTTTCGAGAAGATAGTTCTCCCACAAGTCACTGCATTCTTCACAAATATTATCACCAACAAGCAGCATGGTTTCGTCGGCGGAAGGTCGACTTCCTCCAACCTGTTTACCTACGTAAATTATCTACTAGATGTACTTAACAATGGCCACTCAGCTCACACCATTTCCAGCGATTTCAGCAAGGCTTTTGACAGGGTGGATCATACTATTCTGCGAAACAAACTTAGAAGATACGGTATATGCGGTAATGCACTGTGTTGGATTCAATCATATCATATAGGAAGGCATTTCCTGTCTGCTAAGCATAATGTAACATCAGGAGTAAATCAGGGGTCACATCTGGGACCTATTCTCTTTCATATCTTCGTAAACGACATTGGCGATCAATCAGAATTTTTGCTGTATGCAGACGATTTGAAGATCTTCAGAATGCTAACCAGTGAGCAACACCTTCGAGTTCTTCAGAATGACATAGACAAGCTTTCGTTGTGATGCCGATTCAACAAATTGGACTTGAATGTCAGAAAATTCTGGGATTCATTACTAGAACTAGCAAGGATTTCATGAATCCCATCTCACTGCCCGCCTTTATTCATCAATGGTTCTGCCAATTTTAGAATATGGCTCCGTAATTTGGACGCCTTATACCGATGCAGCCTCTAGTCATATTGAAAAAATACAATCAAAGCTATATAAATGTCTTGGCTATCGATATGGTATTCCTGGTGGTTACAACACAGTGTCTGATGTCTATATACACTATAACATAAACAGCCTGCAAGAACGTCAAGTAGCTGACATGATATTTTTCTTCAAAGTCGTGAACGGCCTTATCGATGCGCCAGACATCATCCGCAGTTTCCAATGTGTATCAGTGGGTCTCTCACTGAGACGTAACCGTCTCCTGAAGACTATGAAAACTACCAAGAGCTACGTTTTCAATGGTCCTCACAACCGTCTGGCCAGGCTCGTCAACTCATTACATAGTGATGTGGACTTCTATAGCGGATCACTCAGTGCCTTCATCCCGGATATCAAATCACGTCTACTGCAATATCCCTAGTCTCAACTTTTTCACTTTCTCCTTCCTAATTTGCTATAATTTGTTCTTAATACTAATATTAAATACTATTAATGCCTCCCTTTTAATTACATAAAAAATATTATACAACTTTAAATTATTTAGTTGTATAATACCGTTTGGTGTATGTATACTTAAATTAAGAAGAGATGTTTTTGTAAACATAAAGAAGACGGCCAATTGTGAAGTTTTCGAAAAAAAAATCTATTGTTTTGTTGCATTATCAGATAGTATACACTGTAATAAACATTCTCTCAAATTTTGAACACGGTTCTTGTATAAAGAGAACGGAGTAGGGAACGCCACAACTCCACTCTTTAAACACGTTTTTCTCAAAATGGCGTTTTTCAAAACGGTTTCACTCTCAAAGAAAAGTTTTGAAGATTTGAAGACATCGCACAGGACCTTTTCTTTTACATGCATAATCCAATAAATAAACGTAAAAAAACATTTTGTATTCCTCATGAATGTATTTATTAAAAAAAAACCGATCGAGTAGTTAATTTCAACATTAAAAAAAGTAGAGAAAATCAGTGATTTTCGAAGGGTCACACTGAGACGCTTCCTTAAATAATAAATGCTAATCCTATTTAGAAAAGGTAAATACTTAGCAAAAAAAAAAAAAAAAAATTACGCAACTTATATCCAAAAACGTCCATGACTTTATTTATTTGGTTCATAGCATACAAATATCTACATATACAGTAATATACATTCATGTATAATACTTCATATTCAATAAAGATAATTAATTTATACATACGTAGATATAAAAATTTTATTTTGTAACGGTTTTTAGAAATGGCCTCTTAGTTTATGCTTATAGAATTAATAGAGTTTGTATTTTATTACATTTAAGTAGAATCATTTTATGTTTAAATAGGATGTAAATATTTGGTATTAATTTAGTTTAGTCTATATTTTAAATATGACAAATTATTTGATGCAAAAAAAAATTTGCTGCAATATTTGTTCTAAATCGCAATATATTAAAATAATTTATGAAAATAATACATCAAAGACTAATACCATTTTACGAACTTGTTCAGTTTGCCTTGTTCTAAAAACACAAATTTTATACCAACGAATGCACATAAAATAAATGACGTTTTATTCATTATTTCATATAAATAGAGGATTATTTTCAATACGTTGTGAATATATGCAAAATTTTTCTTTAAATTTTTATTAGATTAAGTTTTATGTTTTGAGTCCTCGCTGATGACGTTTGACACGAGCGTATGGACCAACAGCAGGATCGGTAACGAAATCATAAAGGACTCGTGACCAGCTCGTATGTTGGGGCATTGCTTCGTAAAATTCGGGAGCGATGCGTTTTACATCAGGCAGTCTCGAACCTGGAACAGCAGGAAAATCGTGATGTTCGTTATGATATCCCACGTTAAATGTTATCCAATTCAGAGGTCCATAATATGAGTATGTTTCGAAACCTTTTGCGAACATATAGTGCTCCGAAATAAAATGTCCGGCCACAGGATGTAAGCCCATTGCCAGTATAGAACCGATCACTAGATAAGCTAGTGCTTTCCATCCAAAGAAATAAACGACAAATGTGTTAAAAATAAACTGAATAATAGTGTTGATAATTTCAAGTCCGCTGGGTGGTTTTGGATTTATGACTAGTGGTCGAAATATGTAGAAAAATGGTTGTAAACAAACCCAAACAAACTTTCCAAAAGTTGTATCAAACAGCTTAGCCTCTAATAAAGTAGGAATATCGGTATCTATACCCTCGTCTCCTTGGTATCTGTAAATAATAAAGATAATTAATTTATAATAAATGAAAGTGCCCTAACACAAGTTTCAGAAATTTTGTTTTTTGACCAAATATCATTCATTTTAAAAGCAAGATATATTATTGTTGTATAGTATCAGCCGTATGCTGACATCCTCGTCGTAAAAATTCCTACTTTAATATAATTTGTCAGGTATTATTTTCCACAGCGTTAAATTTAACAAGATTTAGGCTGTTGAGTAGATTATATCATTTATCTACAAAAATGTCACTTGCTAATGTCGTTACCGATATATTTTTATGCTAATCTAGCAGTCAGTACGGAGTTATGCACATTATCACAATTGTATAATGCAAACATAACAATGCATCTGAATTCACCTAGCAATCGACTTGCCGAATCAAAATAATTCGTCTATTATTACCATTCAATAGAAAATATTTATATTATTATTACTCTAATTACTTCAAGTTGTTGGTCAGAATACGTATTATGTATTTTATTACGTGGCACAAGGTTAATTAATAAAACAAAAATGTATGTATCGAATTTATATTCTTAAAGATAAGACAATAAAGTATAAAAATAGTTTGTTAACGTTTTATATATAATTTGTTTATTAATTGTTAGCACAGACAACATCATGAAAATTCAGTTTACAACTTAGGCTTCTAGTCTCTTAAGTCTTTTAAAAACTTATTTTTTTTTTTTGTTCTCTTAAACATATTTACACAAGGTCATAAAAATTGTAAGTTTAAAGTTGTTTTGTCGCGAGGAAAATTTTTTCAAACAACTTTAAGCGTATTTCATAAATCCACCCCCGCTATAGGTAGGTAGGGATGCAGCCCTATCGTGCTCAACTAGCACTTGATGTGCCATTTTGCTATAGTTACATATATGCAAATTTAAATGGGTTTTTCTCAAAAGTACTTTTTTCAATTGGCGAGGCATTAATTGCGGCAATTTTTTGTGCTTCTTTTTAGAATTGGATTTTGCGTAGAAGTACGGTAATTTCAATTGATTTGAAATTATTGCCTAAAAAATTTATTTTTCTGTTCAAATACCAACAATATTGAAGGAATCAATATTTTCGAATTTCCGCACGCGCTTCTATGAGTTTGCTCCAGGACGATAATTCAGAATGCTAAATGCCTCGTCGGGGCATGCTTAAATAAAACCGATCCAAGAGACATCGTACAATTTGGTAATTATACTCAACAACAACATTAACCGAAAAAAGGCGTTTTTCATCAGTTTCAGGTTGAAACTTTATAAAGGTTTCAATAGTTCTGGGAATTAATGATTGTCACGCAAAAAATAATAATGAATTTGATCATAATTTTATGGTACTCCTCGTTGTACCAGCTGTTCTTTCTCATTTTCCGAAAACCAAAAGTTTCAGTTGCAGCTGTTCGCTTATACCGAGTTGTTGCCGAGTGCTCTCAGAGAGCTGTAGTGCAAGTCTAGTGAAAATCGTTCGGCTGTCTGTTGTGATTGCAGCTTCTCGACATTGAACCTTCCTTGTGTATGTTGATGTGCACAGATGCGGGTGCAAGTCATTGCTGCACGAAGATAGTGGTCCGAGTGGATGTAAGGACCTCGGAGCGTACGCATATCTAAAACACATATACTGACTAGCTTGATGTATTTTCTTATGCTGGAATGTAGTACTAGGGATAACCATATTTCGAGCCCCGGCGAAGTCGATCAACGTTGTTATTGTTGTTGTTGTTGTAACGGCAGAAATTCTGCCGAGTTGACAGTCCTTGGCCGGATAAAAATCCGGGTCCGCTCCAGTTTTCGTGGACCCGACTGTCGTGGGACTTAAAAAAAACAGAAAGAATGCTTTTTGGCCAAATCAACTGATCTGATATTCAAAATAGTCCCCTTCTGCTTCAAAACAGTTTTTTGCACTGTCCAAAAGCATGTCGAAAGAGTGTTGTAGCCCGTTGACCGGTATAGCCGCCAGTATGCCGGTGCAATGAGTGGCCTCTACGTCTTCATAACGCTTTCCTTCCATGGGCAAATGCAATTTCCGAAGAGGAAGAAGTCGCACGGTGCCATATCAGGTAAACACGGCGAGTGGTTTATGGTGAACCGGATTTTTATCCGGCCAAGGACTGTCAACTCGGCAGAATTCTGCCGTTACAAAAACAACCCGTTCCCACGACAGTCGGGTCTACGAAAACCGGAACGGACCCGGATTTTTATCCGACCAAGGACTGTCAACTCGGCAGAATTCTGCCGTTACAACAACAACGGTGCTTTATGGTTAAAATGTGATTTTCGGTCAAATAATTCTGAGCAATTTTTGGTCGTCAGTCAATTTGTGCGGAACAAACCGTGCACACACCTTTTGCAAGAGCAAATGTTCGGTCAGAATGCGATAAATCTCGTTTTGGAGATCTTTAATTCCATTCACATGAATTTCAATGATGATTTCGGCTGATTTTTGATGAATGCATGCACACCTTCGACGGAATTTCCGGTGATCAGGGATTTTGATTGGCCCACATGTTGATCGAAATGTATGTCCTCACGACCATTTTGAAAACATTGAAACCACTCGTGCACTCTGCCACGGGATAAGCAATCATCGCCATAAACTTTGTTTTATCAATTGAAACGATTAGGCAGAAGTTTTACCAATTCTAAAACAAAATTTAATGTTGGCTTTTTGTTCGAAGCTCATTTTCGCACCAATAACACAAATATACTGACACTTAAAACGCAATAACTTCACTTCCAATCGATGAATTGTCATGAAATTCTCACTGGACAATCGATAAAGATGACAGATTCTAACACACCAGTCGACATATAGATAGCGCCAACAGGGGGCGCTAAATTCAATTCTGTTTAAACTTTGTGTAAAAAAGATTTTGTTTACTTTGGAACATACTTCAAACAGTGGTAATTTCCCCCTTCAGACGCGAATATCTCGATAACTATTTGTATCCCTAAAGTTTAGATAAATATTAATCTGGAGAATCTCCTCTATCCGATTCACTTCACCAATTCGTTTTTATCCATTTGTTTTATGTTAAATACTGTAAAAACTACTTTTATTCTAACATATAAAACACATAAAAGAACTCAAAAAATAAAGAAAAGAAGTAATAACCCAATGACAGAATATAATTAACATATTATTAATTTTTCGCGCTTAACGCTGTTCGGACCAATGTGTCTTCAATTCGACTGGGCTGTAGATAGTCTCCCCCGATTAATGTTCAATTAAAATCGGTATGTACGGATAGAGGAGGTTCTGCAGATTAAGAGTATATGTATATATAGCTGCCGCAGGCTTATTATTATATGCTTGCAACCTGTTGCTACAGAGTATTATAGTTTTGTTTACCTAACGGTTGTATGTATCACCTAAAACTAAGCTAGATGTTTGATAAAAGATCAAGATGACGAGAAAAGTTGAAATCCGGGGAACTGTCTGTCTGTCCGTCCGTGCCAGCTATAACTTGAGTAAAAATTTAGATATCTTAATGAAACTTAGTATGAAGGTTTTTAGTACAAAAAAAAAAAAAAAAAAAAAATACGAATTCGTAGATGGGCCTTATCAGACAAATGCCTCGACATTAACCGAAAACCTATAAAGTGCCATAGCTAAGCACTAAATTAGCCATGATTCCAATTTACTACTACGATAAAAGCAAAAATGCATCTTAAGCCGCCAATAAAATTTGCGTAGTTTATGAACCCGGTACAGTTTCCATTTCCACCGCACAACGATGGTTTCAACGTTTTCGTTCTGGTGTAGAGGTGGTCGAAGATGCGCCACGCTCCGGAAGGCCTGTCATTGAAAACTGCGATAAAATCGCTGAATTGGTCGAAAGTGACCGTCATAGTAGCAGCCGTGACATCGGTCAAGAGCTGGGAATGAGTGATGAAAAAAAAATTTATGAACAATTGAAAATTCAATAAAAAAATACCGCAAGACTTTTTTGACAACCTATTAATTAAATTTAATAAACAAATTATATAATAATATTACGTAATAAAGTGTAAAGTAAATATTATAAACTCTCTTTCCATGAATACGAATTTTAGGTATTTTTTGACGCGATAAAAAAAAATATATATGGACTATCCATTTTTTTACATGCTTTTTATTGATATTCTAACAATATAAAACATATTGTTGTCCTGGTGTGCAGGATATAATTCCTTTCCTAAAATGAAAATTTATGCGAAATCCGTGAAGAATAAAAGTTTCGTATTTTAAGTTTTTTTGTGGTTCGGAATTTAAAAAAAAAAAAAAAAATATTTCGAAAGCTCTTCGTAGAGCGATACTATAATGTATAAGATAGCTGTGTGTAAAATTTAATGTGAATCGGTTGAGTGGAAATTGAGATATCATGCACACCGTTTCTAGAAAAGCGTTTATTAAAAATCGAAATTGTTTGATATTTTGATTTTAGAAAAGAAAAATTAACTATGTTTTAAAGATAAATTATATAATATTTTAGTACTCTAAGGAGGAACTGCAAAAGACTCAGTGTGGAATGTTACAGTAATTACATATACAAAGTTGAGAACATGGTCCAGTCTGACACCAACGCTTTTTGGAAATTTATAAAAGATAAAAAACAAAATAAATAATAAATCACGGCAATCAGCTCGTTGATGCTAACTCAAATGGATCGTCAACCAACGTTCACAGCTTAGAGGTCCAATACAATGATGTACTCCAGCAGCTACTCAAATTAAATCCAAATAAAGGTGCCGGACCCGATGGGATACCAAACGTCTTTTAAAAAAACTGCGCCATCGAGCTCTCTTCAATCAGGTAGTTTCCCTCGTGCCTGGAAACTGTCTTATGTGAGTCCAATACACAAAAGTGGCCTAAGATCTGAAGTAGCTAACTACAGGCCCATCTGCATCCAATCAGCATTAGCCAAGCTCTTCGAAAAGTTGGTTCTGCAATACTATCTCTAACTTTCAAGGATATCATCACTATAAAACAACATGGACTATGTACTCAACGCACTGAATG